CAGACCTTTCACCCTCTTTGGCTGTGATCTGCTCCTGCCCCAGGACTGTGTTCCTTGGGTCTCTGCTTCCCAGCAGGGAGGTCAGTCCTGGTCCAGGAAGCTCAGGCATGAAGATGTGCTGATTCCCACTGTGCTGCTTCTCACAGTTGCCTATTCCAGTCACCACTGGCCAAGGTCCCATCTCTGATCTGCAGGATCTATTCCCTCCCACCACATCCACACACAGCCTGCTGTCAATTCACACTGTAAGCTGATTCTGTCTGTGGCAGGAGCTTATAGCAAGGGGTCCTCAGGCACCACAGATGCTTGCTTCTCTCCAAAGGCAAACACCACCATCCCTGTGCCCTCACCCTGCTTCCCCTTCATGCACAATTAATTATGTGGTCCATTAACAATCTTGTATGAGCAGTCCTTTAACAACATTAATTATCCTGCTGCTAAAGCAGAAATGCAAAAAATTGTCCCTGGACAGCCCACTGTCACCTGCCCTGTCCCCTGAGAAAACCAAAACCTTAAACCAGGTTGCTCTGAGGGCAGAGAGGAGTAGGCAACCCGTGGTTCTGGACCTGCCAAGGGGCAGGTGGGATGGGACAGAAATGTGCTGGGCCCAGAATGATCTGCTTCTGCAGTGAACAACTCTGACTGGATGGATACATCATAGGTGCTGCAGCTCTTGTTCTTTTCTCAAGTTTTCACAGCCAGCAGAGGTGAAGAGGGTGCTCCTGAGAAACACCTGGGCACTGTGGAAGCTGCTGGAGGTGTCAGGTCAACAGCATCTGATGAGGCAGAACAGAGAGTTGATGGTCTGAGCTGAAGCAGCAAGGAAAAGCTTTAGAGACTTGGTGACCAGATTTGGAAAGAAGAGACATGAAAATGAAATGGCAATGGCAGGTATGTGAGAGTCTACGGATAAGAAAGGCCTGTGGAGGTCTGTGTGGTTTGGATGAACATTAATGCATCTCTTGGGGATGAGAATTGTAGTCCTACTGCCCCTAAGGCTTTTGTTTGTAATGTTGCATAAACCATGCTGTGTTAGGCTGAGGCTAGAGGAGAGCTGTTGCAGCCACCTCATCTGCTCCAGGGCAGGGCTTTGAAGGCTTATTCAAACAGGAATTTCAGGGAGACATGTACAGAGAGAAGAGAGAGAGAGAAGGATGCAATGGTACATAAATCAGAGATCATTCCAAAGAAGAGGTGAGGCTACTGTCATTTGAGAACTGGCCACTGGTTTGTAGGAGTATCTTCAGGGAGAGGAGTCTGAAATACAAATCATACGTGTGTCATATAAAATAGAAGAAAAGAGCCAGAAGTTCCACAATAAGAGAGGAAAAAACAGAGTATTTTGTATGTCCATAAAATTTAGGCCTGGGCATGGGCAGGAGTAGGCAGTAGAAGATCTTAGAATCTGCAACTCAGTTCTGGTGGCTCCAGTTTCTCACAAAATGCCATTTTGACAGCTCGCCTTCCTTTTTTAAACCTTGTCTCTCACAGATACCAGTTCTGAATGGGCTTGAGGGCGGCTATTCAGCCCAGCTGATGAAGGGTTACTGTGCTGAACGCCTGTGTTTCTAACTTAAGACTCAAGTCTTAGTTCCTGTGGCCTCCATTTTCAAAGGCTCAGTCTAACACATCCCAAATTAACTCACCAGGCAACAGAGTATGAAATCGGACATGACCGATCGATCCTCGAGCATTGATTCAAAGCTAAACTAATGGAATGTAAAGAAAATGTAAGACTCTATTGCACTGTAAAGGCTACCTATTTAGCCATTTCACAAAATAAAATTCCATTTGGGAGCTGGGTGGAGGTGTAAAGTTCAAAGAACTGACTAAAACAAGGCATAGGGACTTCACAAACTGCTGCCATACAGATTAAGCCTTGGGGGAATGGCTTTATTAGACACCACTGACTAAAATAATTGCATGATAATTTTGGCTAGGGGCACCATCCTATCATCCATCCTATCATCTGATGATTTTTAAACTGTGCATGAATAGTTTCAACAGAGTGATCTTGGCATCCAGCTGCATAGAAGTGAGAGGCCCGTTCAGTGTACCACGTCTATGCTTGGGCTCTTGGGGAAAAGAAATAAAAGGAAAAAAAAGAAGATGTCCTAGGACTCTCAAAGAGAGGTCTCTGAGAAATAACAGCAAGCAGTTCTGCATGCTCCTTCTGCAATGCTCTAAGAGACTAACCAAGGGCTTTCTCCTAAGGTAAGTGGCAGAAAAATAATGCTTCCTAGGGCAGTTTGGAGCAGGCAGGTGCCTGTCAGGCTTGAAACAATGCAAATTAAAACCATGAATATTTGAATTTTAACATTTAGCATCTTAACATTTAACTTCTGACAAGAAATTTAAAGTTTAATGCTGCTATGTCATACCTCAACTGATGTAAACATGGCATGAATGTAACATAGAAGTGATTTGAGTAGTGGCAAATGATAAGACAATTTTTAAAGAAGTAACAAAATCAAAAAATAAAGGAACTTCCTTCAAGAGAAATTATGGAATTCCTTCTGGTTCTAACTGACTACATGCATGAATTTTAATTGTTTGAAATAACCATACAAAAATACTTGGGCAGAGACACAAAGCTAGATGGTATAATGAGAAATGTCTCAGGTATGTAATTTCTATACTGAAAATGGTATATTTCTATTCTACAATGCTAGTAGTATAGAATAGCCTGTACTACTAGAATTTCTAGTCTACTAGTAAACTGGAAATAATGATATAATTGATATTTAAGATTACTCTCTTAGAGTAAACTGAAATTACTCTGTTAGAACTCAGTTAAGACCAGGGAAGGGGACAGAAATGGAAAAATTAGAAGCACGTTGCTATGACAAGGTTGTGAAGTAGTTTGGGCTGATTTCTTAGAAACAGTGGCTTTTGTGGCTCTAAACTAACTTCTTTATTTTATACACAGTATTCACTGTGTCATTACTCATACTGCAAGTTCTACCAGAGCAGAGCTGAGGGGAAGTGTCCTGGTATCAAGGGCTCACTCAAAGGGTGAATTATACCATTCCTACAATTACATTTCCTCTGTTGGCTCTTATAATGCAAAGGTGAGGATAGAGTTATTTAAACACTGGTGGAAACGACTCAAGAAACAAAACTCTGTCAAGCCAGAGTGATATGTTTATACACCTCCCTTGCCCTGAATAGTTACATCTGCTTTCTGTTCCAGACAGTTTCTACCTCTAGAGAAATCCATCTTTGGGATTAAAACATATTTATCCCTGAATTTACATTGTAGCATCACAGTTAGAGTTTTGTTTGTTGTCTGGTTGGGTTTTTTTGCTGATTCAATCAATTTCAGTGAGGGATCAGCCATTTGCAAGGCAGCGAATATGCCTAAAGCTCCTTTGCTTAACTGTTGCATTGGACTGCAATAATTACTGCTGACTTTCTGTTTTCCTCCTGTGTCTCATTGCAATGATATGTGTGGGAGGAAAGGGATGGGGAAACAAGATATGCTGGGTGCATAACAACACCTAAGAGATTGCTTGACTAGATATGTTTACTTAGCCAGTTCCGTGTGTGAAAATTCAAATTTGCAGACCAAAAACAGTCCCAGAAACATAATAATAAATCTGTGGGATGCCTATGCCGAGAATGACTTCACTGCTGGTTACAACTGAAAATGTTTACTTGCAGCATGGATAAATACAGCCTTGAAGCAAAACTGAACTTCCTGCGATCATGTCATGCGCCAAGCTGTATTAATAACGGTGATATCACCCAGCTATGCTAGCATTTAAATATATACAAGATTTTGGGCACACCAACCAGCGACTTTTAAAAAAAGACCTTAGAAATTGCACTTTACTAAAGGTTGTGATTTAGTGGAATTTGGTATGCTTTGAAAGTATTGTAGCATAAAAGCAATTCAAGTGCAAACCCTGAGGTAGATATGATCCCAGTTGCTTCAATAATTTATTGCCATACTAGCAGAAAAACTTCCAGGGATGCAATACCAATCATGCAGTTGACGCACAAATAAACAGTCAAATATCTTACATTTCAATTCCCCACATTACCTAAATCTCCAGAAGAAAGCTTCAAAAGAAGCAGAATATAAGACAAATTTGTAAATCAAGCAGAATATAAGACAAATTTGGTTGTGAATCAGTTTCTGGGATAGAGGGAGTTAAAAAGATTTTCACTCACTGTTAAAAACCTCCACATCACTCTGATTCCATTATCTCATATGTTAAAACTTATAATTAAGATGCAGAAAAACTTGATGCATAAAAATAAAGGTATAAACCCTAGAAGCACTCAGTTTATTGATATTATCGTAGAACTGAGACTGCAAATGTACAGCTTATGTGTAAATCAGCTATGTATTTGTAGATTTAAGAAGCCAAGAGAGAAATTTGTGAATTGTTACCCAGGTAGATTGGAAATGCTGGATAGATGGCACTAAAATTGCTGCTGCCTTCGGGTAAAAAATGAAACTGCTTTTAAGTCACAGTTATAGGACATTTCTCAAAACTTTATCCAAAAAATTAAAGCAAAGAACATTATTTATTGTGGCAAAACTATGGCAAATCCATAGTCAATATAGAATGGAGTGGGTGTAGAATTAAACTGTAGTTGGCAAATGATTTGCAAGGTGGGAAAAAAGTAATCTTCATTTCTAGTGGGAAGAAAAGAATATAAAGCTATGGGCAGTTATGAAGTACTGTGGTTTACAGCTGAAATTAATATCTCTTAATCTTAAAATAATCTCACATTTGCATCTTTGACCAGTAATCATGAAGTTTGAATTAATTTAAAGGCTCAGTAAGTAGAAAGTAATGACGAACTTCTAAGAGCTCTCCAGCTACCAGAAGAATGGATCTGAAACACATATATTAAAGTTACTAAAAAAACCCCAAAAAACAAACAACAAAAAAACCAACAAAAACTAAAAATGTCCATTTCCAAAAGAAATCCATCATTGCAGGAAAATAAATTTTTTTTCCCCCCCCAGAAATGAACTTCTGACCATGGGGGACTGGAACTTGTTGGGCAGCATCCTTGAAGAAGTGCACATCCACTCCACCATAGTTGGCAAAATCTGGCTCACAATCCTGTTCATATTCCGAATGCTGGTGCTGGGAGTGGCTGCTGAAGATGTCTGGGATGATGAGCAGTCCGAGTTCATCTGCAACACGGAGCAACCCGGCTGCAACAACATCTGTTACGACAAAGCCTTCCCCATTTCTTTGATCAGATACTGGGTACTGCAGATCATATTTGTCTCCTCCCCATCCTTAGTGTACATGGGCCATGCGCTCTACAGGTTAAGGGCGCTGGAGAAAGAGCGACAGAACAGGAAAGCCCACCTGCGGGCTCAGCTCGAGGACCTGGAGCCCATGCTTGAGGAGCACAGAAGAGTGGAGAGAGAACTGCGTAAGCTGGAGGAACAGAAGAAAGTGAATAAGGCACCCTTGAGAGGGTCCCTGCTGCGCACCTATGTCCTACATATCCTGACCCGGTCGGTGGTCGAAGTGGGCTTTATGATAGGTCAGTATCTTTTATACGGGTTTCACATGTCTCCCCTTTACAAATGCACTCGGCCCCCTTGCCCTAACACAGTGGATTGTTTTGTGTCCCGACCCACAGAGAAGACCATCTTTATGGTTTTCATGAACAGCATCGCCGCCGTCTCCCTCTTCCTCAACATCCTCGAAATCGCCCACCTGGGCATCAAGAAGATCCAGAAGAGCCTGTGCGGCCAGCCGCTGTGGCCGGCGGGCCCGTCCGAGGAGGACCCCAGCGTGTACAACTCCAAGAAGAGCTCGGTGGTGCCTCCGCCGCCCTGCCTGGCCAGCAACGCGTCCCCGCCGCGCCCCGCGCCCGCGCCGCGCCGCCCGCCGGGCGCCCCGCAGGCAGAGCCGGGTGAGCGCCTGCCGGGATCTGGATGAGGAGCGCGGCGACTCCCCGGACAGCGGGCACTGCCCCGGCACCCGCAAGTCCAGCTTCCTGTCCCGCGTCCTCACCGGGAGCCGGGCGGGCAGCGACAGCGAGAGCACCGCCTCCCGCGGCGGCTCCGGCCCCCACCTGGGCCGCGGCTCCGGCTCCGGCTCCGGCTCGGAGGGGAAGCGCCGCGAGGAGGGCGCGCCCAGCCCGCCGCCCGCCGCCTCGGGACGCCGCGTGTCCATGGCAAGTAGCGCCCGGGACAGCCCGCGGGAGGGGGGCGGCGGGGGGCAGCGGCACCCGGGGCCGGCCCTGGGGAGGAGGGGGAGAGCCAGGGGGCGGAACGGCTCGGGCAGGACTTCCAACGCAGCCCCAGCGCCTCGCGACCCCCCGGACAAAGCCAAGCTCCCAATCGCTCGGCATCCTTCTGCCGTGAAAGCAGGAATACCAGGGAATTACTGAGTCCCGAGGAGCTCTAAATCACCGAATCCCAGCTTCTTTATACTCATTCCATCATCCCAATCAACTCGACGAGGATTGTCCCAGGGAAAACTTCAGCTCCAGCCAGTGTAAGAAAGAGAAGCCAAGAATGCATTGAGTTCAATGACACAACTTCTCTCAGTTTCAGGTTTGTCTCAGAGGTGACCTCCAAGTCGAATAATTGTTCAATGAACAAATTAAAAGATCTACATGTAAAAACCCCCACCAAATAATTGCAATGCCAGAGCCAACGACTACAGAATTGCTTCTTCAGCATCCCTTCCTTTTCTTTGGCCACATGACCTAGGCTTGCTTACAGTCACAATATTGGCAAGATACAGTGCTTGCATTCAAGAGTCAACAAAGATTTCATAAAAGAGATTTGAATTCTGGTGGCCTCAGATCACAGGTTTGGTTCTCTGAGAGCACAGAGGCTCCTTTACAATCGCTTGCAGTAGCAAGCCCATAAATACCTTTTTATAGGGCATGTAATAAACAAGATTACTTCACACAATGCTCCAAGTCATATATTCTGTTCAATTTTTTTCCTCACTCTTCCTAAACACTGCTCCCCCCCCGCCCTTTTTTTTTTCCCTATATACAAAACAAACAAAACCAACAAACTTCAAACCTTTTCTGGTAAGAAACACAAGGCCCCATTACACTGCTCAAAAATTGTTTGAGTTCCAGTTTCCATGGGATTACAGTTCCTACAGTAAGCCAGTCAGTGTAAGCCATGTTAAATTGTCACTTAGGTGCAATTTAACCACTTTCCACTTCAATCTTTCTAACACAGGGAGAGGGCCTACAGCCTAATCTGTTGATCTGCTGGCTTTTGATACTCAGATGGAAGGCTCTTTAAAAAGGTGAAGTGCAGAAAGTTATTCAAAGCAAGACAGAATTTCAGCAGCACTCTCTTGAGAACTCACAGAAGTTGCTTGGCAGCTTTTCCTATGTAATGACAATGATTCTACCTTCCAGGGGAGACCTTCAGAGAAATACAGTCAGTTTGCAAAACAATGCCATTACTTTTGAAAGTAACACTCTCCCAGCATGCTGTCTTTGGAGATCATTATCTGTAGGACATGTGCTAGCATTTTAAAATGTGACTGATGTAGGTATGCTACCTGGTGCTTCGTGCTTACAGCATGCAATATTTAAAAGTACAGGTGCTTCCTAATACAACTGAAGCAAGGTTTTGGCAAATGCACTTTATTCTGTCACTGCTGCAGCATTTTTAGGAATACTGATTTCAATACACAAATATCCTGGTGCATCACTAGTATGTTGAACCCGGGCATTAAAACTTGAATACTCTTCCAGTCTGTATTCCTCAATTCCTGTATTAACTATTTAATTTGGTGAAAGGCGCTCAGCATTGGTTTGATTTGTTTTAATACTGATTTCCTGAAGACGAGAATCACAGTATTAATGATAGAATCACAGAATTATTTGGGTTGGAAGGGATCTTAAAGATCATCTCACCCTGTCAAGGGACACCTTCCACTAAACCAGGTTGCCACAAGTCCCATCAAACTTGGCCTCAAACACTTCCAGAGATGAGGCATTCACAACTTCTCTGGGCAACCAGTTCCAGCACCTCACCACCCTCACAGTAAAGAATTTCTTCCTACTAAACCTACTCTCTTTCAGTTTAAAGCCATTCCCTCTTGTGCCATCACTACATGCCCTTGCTAACAGTCCCTCTCCAGCTCTCTTGTCAGCTCCCTTTTGCTTACTGGAAGGCCACTATTAGGTCACCCTGGACCCTTCTCCAGACTGAAAAACCCCAACTTTCTCAGCCTTTCCTCACAGGAGAGGTAATCTTTAGATAAAAGAAAAATGTGTATGATTAGATCAAAACCTACTGATCATATTCTTTATTTTTTAAAAAGTACTTAAAAGTAGCTATGTTAAAAAAAATCCAAATGAAGCATACAAAAGCATTGCCTACTGCCATCCCTGATTAATGGTGACTTGCAACAGTAATGCAGAGAAAGCACAGACACTTCTTAACATCACAGTGAATCCACATGAACAAACATAATCTAAACAGCCAAAATACAGTCTGTTCTAACCCGGATTTTACTAATCTGAACTGGGTAGCCTAAAAGCAGAATTGACACTGTTCTTCAATTTTCTTTGATAAATTTCCCAAATTACCATCTTTAGTTCCACACTGGTTTAAGTGTTTTTTCTTTTTCCCCCTCCTCCACACCATTCTGCTGGAATCTGTCTGTAGCATTCTCTTTGTATTAGATTCAATGAGAGAGGAGTATCAACTCAACATTGAAAAGATCACTTTCTACAGCTCAATAACCATTCCAGCTGCCTCCAACCAAACACATACCCGTGTTCTGTGCTAAGACAGCAGGACAGCTGCAGCTGCCCACAAACACCATAGTTTTCTTCCTAGCTGAAGGAAACCCTCAAAGTTACACAAAATCCATCCATCTGATAGTGCAAGAGTCTTCAGACAAGTCAACTGCACTCTGTGAGTTGTGGCTCTGGAAGCACTGAGCAAGTCTAAGGGTACAGTTTATGGATGCTTGACCTTCAACCAGTGATGAGCTTTTTTCTGACCAGTATTGTCAACGCCATTTCCACACCAAAACTGAATCTCTAACAAGCAAATAATAGTCATTAGGGACAAATAAATGTGTTAAAAGATACTTCTCATTATGTGTTGGACCCTGTGAAACTATGAACACCAGGTGTTGGATAGTAATTGGCTGGGTCATATAACGGGATTTTTTTCATAAGTACAAAACTGTATGTCTCAAAGAGAACAGGAGGTTTGTCTTAGGCCTTCCTCTTTGGAGGAATGGTTATTTTGCACCCTTAGGAGAGAATGCATTTAATTCTTCACTGAAAGCCCCTATGAAACAGCACAGTAAGACACTGATTACAAAATGCATGTTTGGCTATCAGGATTCCTCAGCTTTTCCGAACTTCAGTTCAAATCAGACCAGCTTTAGATATAAAAAAGAATAAATGCCCTTCCCATTGGTAGGATTTATACAGACCGACCATGTTTGGCTACAAACTAGAAGGCTATTTAAAACTTCCTTACCTGGAACTGGTGGAGATGAAGAGCCATTTTGTTGTTTCACATCCAACTGCAGCATAAACCCCTGACAAAATATTTACATTGCAACTTTTAGTTTTACACCCAAACCACTCACTCTTCATGTTCTGTTCAATTTCTCTCATGTGGTATTATCCAAAGTTAATAATTATTCAGACCAGGAAGCCAGAGTGAGAGACAGAAAACCTAAAAAAATTATTTGACTAAAGATCCATTGGGAAAAAAAAAAAAAAAACAACCCCTTTTTTTAGCCACTGCTGGTCAAGCTTTAGGTTTATTAGATTCTGAAGACAGACCACCAAAACCGGACCTTCAAGCACATGGCAAAGCAAAGGTGAAGAGTCCATGCATGACATGAGGGTTATTTCCAGCTGATTTCACTCCACCTAAACACAATGACAAGAGCAGTGCTGACTATACAGATGAGCTAATCTCAACATAATGTTGCAAAACTCTACACTGACAGGGGAATCCAGCAACTGTGTACAGCTGAAGTCAGACTGTTTGCACATCTCCAAAACCTTGGTCCTGTGGACCACAGTCAGCATGCTTTGAAGTGACAGAAAACAATTTGTTCACTGATAACTGTCTCCAAGCTAATAATTTTCAAGGCTCACTTAGAGGATACATCTTAGAGAATAAACAGTATTTTATCTTCTAAGAGATATTATGGGTACACACATAGTTGTGCCCTAAGGTTTGCATCACTCAACCACATTTTAACTTTTATTTAAGGGGAGATACAGCTATGGAGCAAATGGGCATCTTCTGCATGGTTCCAGGCTGCCAGACTCCATTAGGTGAAGCAGGTCTTAAATGTCAGCTTTTCATACACAACTGAGTGAAAAAAGCTTCACTGAACTTAGTATATCCATAATCATAGCTGACAGCCAGGAGAGGGACCCACAAAGGTGTGTAGGAATTAGGCTGCTGTCCACAGGAATCTGCACATGAATTATATTATGAGAAAAGACCTCATAATTTGCACCAGTCAGGATCTTGACTGGTGGATAATACATGCTTAAGCCTGATAAGATTAATAGACTGATGCAGTCAAAGATCAGTTTATAGCAAGCACAGATACAACTTGTGCTCCCTTGAAAATAGGCAGGGCCAGGAATGAAGCACCTGGCTCTTGGAGCATTGCACTGAGAGGTATTGTCTCCCAGCATCCACATGCAAGACTGTGTCAAGCCATTAGGACCACCAAATAACTCTCTTCTTCTATGGGGGCATGAAAAACAGATCTGAGCACTCCAAATGAAAAATTAGAGAAGATGGCAGCTTTACTTCCAGAGGCACCGTCTGCCAGAATCAAGCAGTCTTCCTCCTCACCCATTTTCTGCAAACCAGGGAACGATTTCAGAATGATCAGAAAGCTCAGCTGAGATGACCACAGACCATCTTCAGAGTATCTTCACAGACCATCTTCACAATATCTTCCCAATTCAATAGCTGAATGCAATCATTTCTAGAAAAGCTGGAGGCTGTCTGGTATTTCATTGCTAGCTGCTTTTGAAGTCTTTGCTAGCTGTGTTTCCTGCCTTTCTAAAGAAGAGGATTCCAGTTCCATGCTACCTGAGCAGGACCTCCACTGTCAGTTCTTTTTGGTCTTTACCTATATGATAGTTTTCTAAAAAATTATATGCTGTGCTCTAAAACCTAAGAGTTTTAATTTGGTTGACTGGAACTGTGAGTATTTACACTAGATTGGCAACTCTCTTCACAAAGGCACCAACTTTCAGATGACTTGGAACAAATTATATTTGCAACCCGTGCCTAAACCTGCATTGAGAACTACTGTGCTCGTGCTCTTTTTAGAGTACTTAAGGGTATTCCAAGAAGATGGGGGGCTTGACATTATCTAATGTTTGTGTTTCTTCATGGAGCCATC